GCTAAACTGGATTGTCCAGTGTGCCTCAACAAATGTCTTTCCCTTTTGAACATTTGTTGCACAACCATCTGTTTTAAATATGTTGCTTTCATATAGGTTTTATTTATTTGTGACTAGCAGGTTCAGAGCATTGAATTAGCTGTGCGTATACAAACGTCTGGTGTGACGATCTGTCCCCCAACATGTGATCACTGTCTATTTACTGATAATTATTCACCATCACTTACTGTGTATCCAGTTTCGTCCAGTATGTCAGTGACACCCCTAACTTGCACTTGTTACCTGAAATGAATCGTTTAAGCAGAGGACATGTCTGTTTCATATGAGCTGTCATGCAACTGCATGTTAATTGTCAATACTTCAATTTTCAAAGCAATAACCTGGTTTTTATCTTTTTCATGTCTTTGTATGAGACTAAATTCTGGCTGCAATACAGGTTTATCATGCAGCTTCTATACAATGGCAGAGTTCTTATTTAATGGAGGTTTATTGCACTAAGTGAACATAACACATTTTTCGTACTCTTTTAAACTGCTGTATAAATTGATAAGCCATTGTGAGAGTTCTGTAAATAATTAAATATCACATCTTTGTATCTGCTGTTTTTCTTCTGTATATTTGAGGCATTTTTCTTGGGTTTCCAAATAAATTCTTATGTTCCTCTTTTTTTTGTTGTTGTTGGCCATTTCTTCCCTTTCTTTTGGTTTTATGCACATTAATGTAAAAACATGAGTTGTGAACAGAGCCCTGAGCAAAAAAAAAACCGTCATACGCCTCATTGTGGCTAGCTGATGTAGTTGAAATAATGATTTTTGTGATGGCCTTCAGTTAATGACATTTTCACACCATTTACAAAGGGATCAGTCACTAATACAGTCAGGTTTGTAGAATGGATTCAGCAATTCCTCAGGTAAACAAAAGTTTCATCTGTTTGCTATTTTATTGCTGTACATAAAAATAGCAAGTTTTACTCCTGTATTTTTTTTTAAAACGGTTTTTACATTTTAAACATTTTCCTATTCTATTTGTTTCTGCATTCCTGGTTAGAAGGAATAGTGTAAGTATAAAAATAAATGATCAATAAATGGGAGATTAAACATGCCAAAAAAATGTGAATAAAACACTACAAAATATTTTTGTTAGACATTTATTCATCTTTTCATTTTGCCTGTTTGCTTGGAATGTTGGTCTGATTAACCACCAATTCAATAGAATGTCCTCAAATTGTATACAAAAAGTTGCCCTCTGCATCAAAGAAATCACTCCCAACTTGCACCACAGGAGAGGGCTTTTCCATTTCCAGAAACTCTTCAAGTTCTTCTTCTGTCAGCACCTGTCCATCCCAGCTCTCCTCCTCCTCCTCGTCAGCTGGATTTGTGTGAGTAGCACTATCTTCTTCTGTTGATCTTGTAAATGTGACTCCTTTACTAACACCAGCTGTGAACTGGGAGGGCAGAACAGTAACGGGGACAGGCCTCTTGGCCAGGGATTCTGAGACTTCTCCTTGAATCAGAGTCTGGTCAGCCACAGGAACCAAACCACCTTCTCCACTTTTAGATGGGAGTATGGCTGGTGTGTGGTTCCTTGGCAGCTTCAGCCTGTCCTGCCCTGTCCCAGAACCTGAAAGCAACGCCTGCTGACTCAGTTCAGCCATTACTTTGGCATCCTGCTTTTCTTTTCTTGTAGGAGCAGGGACAAACTTGCTCCTGAGGACTCTCAGGATCACATCAGGGGTGACTGAGAAGCTCTGAGCCAGACGCTCTACTGTCCACTCCTCTGGTTGCTCTTGCTTCAGATATCTAAAAAATACAGTAACAGTTCATTTTAAAGGCACATTTGTGATTTTTATTTTAGTGGCTGAACTGACATACTGTACCTAAGCTGCTCACCTGATCTGTTCAATAGCATCCCAGGTAAGCGTCCTCTGTGGAGCTCCTGGTGCAGTCATTTGCGTCCTCATTATGTGAAATTTCACCTTTCTCTGCCTCTTCCTCTCTCCGCTGAAATACATGGGACAAATGGTTTATATAATCTGACTGCATACTGAATTAAACCAATTATTAGATTAAATGGTTAGTTGTTACAATGGAGGAATAAGCGATTGCTGCTGACGACTCTTACTCAACCAAGGCCTGGATCTTCTCTTCTACATCCTCTAAATCCTCCAGGTCTTCATCAGACAACTCCGCACTGTATCTCGGAAGTCCGTTTGATTTTCTGTCTCTGTGCACATGGCTATGTCCTGTCAACGCCCTGTTGGCTCCTCTGCTTGCAAATCGACAGCCGTGAGCAGAAACCGAGGAAGCCACTGACAGAGCACCAAGCCTAGAAAGGAGGGAGAGCACCTGGAGAGGTCGGGCCATGCTCACAGACTTGTCCCCCTCTTCATTAGCTTGTTATGCTAACAGGATGTTCATACAGTCTGACAATTCAGGTCTAGTAAACTGCCCACTAACGGACCTTATTTTGCTCGAGTAATATTCTCTTGCTCTCTAATTTAATTTCCTCCTTTCCTTTTATAAAAAGGAAACCGTGACCAAACTAAATACCTCAGTAACCTTGGCACAGCCGTAAGACTCGTAGATGTACTTCCGCAAACATGAAACTCCTAACATAACATAAAGCTATAGCCCCCTACCGGAGTGGAGGTGCAATTAAACGGACTTAAAAAATCCTTTCTTTTACAGGCAGTTTAGTAGGCTAAATTTTCTGTTTACACTGATTTTGAATGTCAAAATGTCTCATAAGATTACAATATGAGTGAGGGTCTTATTCAAGCAGCATTATAAAACAAGCCCAGCAAAAAAGTAGGCTAATTAGTTTTTAATTAATTAAAATGTATCCTTAAACATTTATATCTATTAATCAAAATATTAACCCCCCGAGAAAAATTATAAATAATTTACCAGGTATACCAGGCGTGGCACCTTCATAAATACTCCAGTGTTGATAGGCATGACATGTATCCTTAGATTGAGGCAAAGTGAGACAAATATCAGTTTCTTGTTTTCTTTGGTTCTGTCTCCGTACTACTCTTGTAGAACACATTTATTTTTCAGCTGATTCTGATCATATTCTGCTGAAAACAAGGTTTCATTATTAGTACATTTATGGTGGTCTTGTGGAAGGGTTTCCTCTGAAGAAAGCTGCTTTCCACCTCTGTGAAAAACAATAAGTCGCAAATTAAAAATGTGTTTGAATGGCGACATCCGCCGGTCACTACGGGCTCCGCACCTCACTTTGTCTCCGTATTCACGTGTGACGCGTCTGCGCACCTCCTCCCGGGCCCCGTTGTTTCATTTGCGCCATTTTGTCCGCTCACTTTGTTGATTGGGCTTTAGCGAGCTGTACTAGAGCCAATCAGAGGGAAAACGGACAGCGAAGACACGGTAAGGGAGACCCGATTGAAGGCATTGGTAATTGTCAGCACGGATTGGTTTGTCATGGACCAACCAAATTACTAACCCTGCTAAATGCAAAAAAACTCGAGTGGCAGTTTGATTTCGACCGCTATGTCCCAGGCTGCTCGGGCTTCAAATAACTTCATGTTTCCATTATTGATTGCTCCAAGGAAACATGATCTCTAGAGATCGACAAACCGAAGCTAATGTTAGCTAATGTTAGAATATTGAATCTCAAACAAAGGGGCGGTTTATAACAACGCCAGCGTCCACCCACCAGTAAACCATCGCTAATGTTATCAAATTAGCATCAGCTATGATAAACAACAGCCGAAGTTAAAGACGGACGTTAGCATTTGACCTATTAACTAATAATCGTTTCTATGCTTTCTAGCATTCTCCATGCTTTCAAGCTAGCTAACCGGATGCTAGCCCGTTAGCTCACAAGAAAATATATTCGCAAACCGACATCCAGCATCTGACCAAGCTTTATCACCTAGTTTGGTGTTTATTTATCACCTCGCAATTTCAACATGCCATCTGACGTATTCTGAGATAAACTGGGATGATGGATTTTAATTATATGGGTCACTGCTATGTTCCCGTTTCAGTAATATCTGAGTTGGCCACACGTAACGCCAGCGTTAGATAATTGATGTTTAGATAATCTTTTCTCCTGGATGGTCCAGAAGGTAGTGGCCCACATATTAAATACCCGGTGTGGGGAGTAATGTTAGTGTTAACTAAGCAATTTTGCCCAAGTAATGTGCATAAGTACAATTTCAGGTATTTACTTGAGTATTTCCATTTTCCTTCAGTGCCTGCATCCATTTCACTACATTTCCAAGGCAAATACTGTACTTTTGACTCCACTACAATTATTTGATAACTTGAGTTGCTAGTTAATCAAAATCAGATTACTAATACTCATACAGTTGAATCATAAGACGCACAGTATAGTAGCATACTGATCCTTGATGGGGAAATCACAAGCTACCCAGTAGTACTTAAAGTATTTCAAATCATAGGCATATGATGCACACAATAATGCATCATTAGTTATAATCCAATAATGTAATACATTAATGTGAAATGTGCAATTCTGCATAATAAGTACTTTTGGTACTTCAGTTATAATACCTTTTTACTTTAAGTAAAAATTTGAATGCATCATTTGTACAGTGATGGATTGAAATATGTGTTTCACCACAGTTGATGTTGTACATCTCTTTTCTTTTGTCTCAAGAGCGGATTGTGACTAAAAATAAGCTATGGAGCAGTACACCACTGCCACCACCACCACTGGGGAGCAAATAGTTGTGCAGACTACCAATGGGCAGATCCAGCAGCAGGTAAGCTCAGAATTTACTCAGATAAATTTGGTTTTGGTAAAGAAAAGTGTGCTCTACCATCAACTATAAAACGTGATCTTACAGAAGATACACTGAATCACTACGTTCCAGCAGATTCCAAATCTAATCTGTTTTCCTGATAATCACCTGCAGACACAGGGCACAGTGACAGCTGTGCAGCTACAAACAGAGGCGCCAGTGGCGACGGCCTCAGGCCAGCAGGTGCAGACACTCCAGGTAGTGGTGTCACCGCCGCCCTGTGTCAGTGTCACGACAGTGTTACAGCCTATGAATTTGCATGCTACAATCAGGGCTGTTTTCCATGACCCATCTCTGTGCTGTTTGGTTTATCCTTCTCCCCCAGCATGTTGTACAGCTGCCTAAACTGCATGTTCCTCAGCACAGTGTGTTTTGTGTCAGCCTTAGATTTTTGCTTTTGCTCTCATGGCTGTCAAAAGACTACTGTTTGTCTGACTTGTCTTTGTCTCTTGCTTTTAAAAGCAAGTTTTGCAAGTCAGGCATTATTCTTCCAGAAGAGGACAGAAGCCATGAAACTTGAGTCACCTGGATGTTTTTTTTTGCAGTTTGCAGAAGAATCTTCTGGGGTTGAACATTAGCACAAATCTTTATTTCTTTACTGACTGTTACTTCTCACCAATTAGCTATATTTTTGTTTTTGCGAAATGGCATTGGGTGTCTTCCCCCTGGCATTTTTCCTGTTGCACAACTGTTGCCACAGATTTTCATATGTCCTGTGTGGTCACTCACTCATTTATGGATATTAGCTGGAAGAGTCATTTAATGGCAGCATTTTGTCTAATTATGTGCTTTTAAGCAGGGCAAATCTCATGCAACCTCAACATCAGTATTACAATAAATACAAAATCTATGAGGTTTTGTATTTTGCAAGTGTAATCTAAATTCATGACAAAATAGTTTGGAATATACTGGGCATGGGCTCCAGTTTGGAACTGATGTGGAACCAGATGGTTTCATGTTTGCATATCACAAAACTGAAAGAATAATAATAATAATACTTTTGTCCATTATGTAGTATCTTGGATGTTCCTGGTGTGACAAAATGTGCTCAGAGTCCTGTAAGTCGCATGTTAAGCACTGTCAGTACTGTTGTAACAGCTTTCTTTCTCTCTCTGTAGGTCCAGGGACAGCCTCTGATGGTCCAGGTGAGCGGCGGCCAGCTCATCACATCCTCAGGGCAACCTATCATGGTGCAAGCAATGTCAGGGGGTCAGGGTCAAACCATAATGCAGGTTCCTGTCTCTGGGGCTCAGGGGCTTCAGCAGGTGAGTGATGAAGCTCAGTTACTAGATCTTACTAAGATCTTATCTTTTACAGAGGGGGTCACTATGCTCTCTGTGGATTACTATTGGTAAATATCAAAAATGCAGTAGTCTGAGATTTCTTTTCATTATCAGTTCCTGGGCATGTTGCTGTTGACAAATGCTTCTTACTTGCATCTAATGATAAATCATTTCCTGTGCTGTAAGCACAGTGCAGGTGCACTTATATTTCAGTACAATTGCCAGATTTAAAGGGCCTTATAATACATGTGATTTTCTTACTTTTTATTTTAGTTGTTTTCTGTCACTAGGTCAGTGTGAATTAACTTACTGTCTTATTGATCAGTGACTCAACACCGGCCTTTGGTTATTACCGTGTCTGTGTGTAGATTCAGCTGGTGCAGCCAGGTCAGATCCAATTGCAAGGCAGTCAGACTCTCCAGCTCCAGGGCCAACAGGGTCAGCCCCAGCAGATCATCATCCAGCAGCCCCAGACAGCCATCACCGCTGGACAGAACCAGGTGTTATATTATGACCATACGAGCAGCAAATCCATTAAATCAAACTATTATTAATATGATTACTGAATGTCTCCTCTCCTTTCTTATGGTACCGCAGGGGCAGCAGCAGATCAGTGTGCAGGGCCAACAGGTGGCACAGACAGCTGATGGACAGACAATTGTCTACCAGCCTGTGAATGCAGATGGTACCGTCCTGCAGCAGGGTAAACTTAGTTTTCTTCTACCTTTTGTGTTTGTCTTGTACCTTGTAAGTTGCATAAAGAGGAGCACTGTTGAGTTGTCATTTGGATTAAGAGCTGTCATGATAATCCTTTTTACAGGAATGATCACAATTCCAGCTGCCAGCTTGGCCGGCGCCCAGATTGTACAGGCAGGTGGCACAAATACCAGCACCACTAACAGCGGCCAAGGCACTGTGACCGTCACCCTGCCTGTCTCTGGCAACATGGTCAATGCAGGTGGAATGGTCATGGTAAGGCCTTGTGCAGAGGTACCCAGCATCTTACTATTATTATTTTTGTAAAAATCTGGACTCACCAACGGGTGTGCGGTGTGGTGAAGGTCACAGAGTTTGTCTTTTCAGAGTAATTAATTAAAGTTTAGTTTTTAGTTTTTGTGCTAATTATAGCTGCCTTTTTCTACACAGTGTGAAATCGTTTGGTGATAATAGTATTGTTTGTACTGGTGAATTGTATTCGGGCTGACAAAATGAACCATGACCCTTGGTAAGCAACATCATTTGAGAACTTTAATTAAATGGAGTGAGTATTACTATGTTTATTTAAAGTCCGTAACACCCATTGTCCATCCACACAGGTGTTTTCACTTACTTTGCTTGAGTCGTGGCATGCACACATTGATGCTGTGCTCAATTGACATCTCCCTCACCTCTCTATTAGTTTATCATAGCTGCTATGGTGCAGTCACTATAGAAATAGTATAGGTTAGATTCTAAACATAACCTGCTAGAAATAGCATGATTTGCGGACTAACAAGAATGTAAACTTTTTTTTTTCCTGATTGAGAGTCAGTCCCACTCCCTCTCTCAAACTGGCTGAACATTGGAGAGCCTCATGATTTCATGGGTCAGGGTTTAATCTAGTTGAACTTTGGAGCAAAGCAAAGGAGGCAGGTCAATTTGCAAAACACCTGTATGGGTGTGCAGGGCTTAACATGAGTCTTATATACCCCATATGAATAAAAGTGTAATAATTCATGTGAAACTGGTTTATCCATTTGAACTGTAACAGCTTGTTTACATCAGTATATTTTGATTTATGCTTGTCATGCCAGAGGTTCTAAGCACAGTGTGTCTGTTTGCGTCTTTCCTATCAGATGGTGCCTGGAGGTGGAGGAGTTCCCACAATGCAGCGTATTCCCCTGCCAGGGGCTGAAATGCTCGAGGAAGAGCCTCTCTATGTCAACGCCAAACAGTACCATCGCATCCTGAAACGAAGACAAGCCCGGGCCAAGCTTGAGGCTGAGGGCAAGATTCCCAAAGAAAGGAGGGTATGGCATGATTGTCATAATAGTAGAAAACAAAGGTCTCTAATTTAACTGCACATGAAAGCCACAAATACCACGAAGGAAAAATAAGAGATATGTTTTTGGGGGTGGGTGAGGTTACCTTTCATCCAATACTGGTACAGAGGTGGCACATTGTATTGCTATCCACTTCCTCTTTGGCAGAAATACCTACACGAGTCTCGTCACCGTCACGCTATGCAGCGTAAACGAGGAGATGGAGGACGTTTCTATTCACTCAAGGAGAAGGAGGAAATGGCATTGGCCCTGTCACAGGTAACAAACTGTGTAGAAAACCATCATCTGTACACAATCACTCTAATAAAAAATATACTGACTCAAGTCTCAATATGCTATAAGCTGTCAGCTGATCACTTAAAATTGCCTTCTAAAAATTGTTTTATGTGTAGTTTGTGTGGAATTAGTTGTCACTCTATTGAAATTACTGATTTGACATTTATGACTGAAACACCTCATCATTTATTAACGTGACCTCGCTGATCCTTTTTCCTCCTCTTGGGCAGCAGCAGCAGGAAGTAACCCAGGCAGCAGCAGACGAGACAGTGGCCCAAATGATCCGAGTCTCGTAGCACTGTTGCCAACATCATCACTTCTGTCTGTGCACTCTACCCGTCTGAGGCGCCTCATCCCAGCTAAACCATCTTCCACACCTTCTCTTCTCCCTTTTTTTTTTTCTCCCACCTGCTCCATTGTCTTACACCAAACTCCAGCTCCGCCACCGGATGTTTTCTTTTATCTCTCTGCTCTTAAGCTGGTCTTCTGGGGAGCTGGCTATGTGGCTGCTAAGGCTGTGGACTGTTCTGGTCTTCTTTGAAACAGTGGATGCTTCCATTCTCCATTTTACTGGTCGAGCTCTTAGGAACACCTTTTTATTTTCATAACGATTTGGTTGGACAATAATGAAACATGAAGTTATGGTTAACGAGGGCCAGCCACACAGGAGAAATGACAGTGGTGAAGCCATACTCAGACCATGGTCTATTTAAAATATAATTTGACATCAGTGGATACTTAGTGCTTTAAATATTTGTTTATGTAAATGGTACAGTTTTTTTCCTCATAAAGCCTTGATGCTACACCAGTGTCCTATATATTTTATGTGATTCTCTTTATTTTTTTTCCAACTCATGTACAGTGGTCAATGGACAAAGCATCTTAATCCAACTGGTGCCCACTGAGCAAAAACTGAAATGTAAGAATATTGTGAAGAAATTCTTTTCATCCCCAGTGTGTAATGGATGTACTTAATAATTTGCCCAATTCTGTGGATGCATTTTATACAATTTGTAGTTAGATTTGCTGTTGTTGGGGAAAATGGCCCATGTTGTGTCACGTCATATGACCTTTCAATGTTGGAACCTATTCATTGGTCAGGTCACCTAAGTGTGGTTTCTTCATTGTTGATAAACCTTTTTTTTACAGATCAGATGCAGTCCTGCATTTTTCTAAAAAAAAAAAAAAAAGATTGGATGGTGATTTCATGAAATATATGCCAATTAGATTTTATTGTCAAATTGTTATTCTTACTGGCCAGGATACAATTTGAGCACTGTATCTCGATTTATCATTTTGTCTAGTCACTGTAATTTCGACTTTTTAGATATCCGAAATGTAATTATGGATATAGCCTTGTGGCCTCACATCACGAAGGTTACGGCTTCTCCTCCCGCAGTCCAAAGACGTGCAACTTTGTTTTTATTGGCAACTCTAAATTGCCCCTAGGAGTGAGTGTGGCTGTTTGTGTACATGTCAGCCCAGTGATGAGACTGGCAACCTGTCCAGGGTGGACCCCGCCTGTCGCCCAGTGTCAGCTGGGATTCGTTTTCCTATCCATGGACGCTGACTGGATGATCACCGCCTACACACTGCCCACTTGTTCAGGTGACAGCCTCAACAAACCGCCCCCTTCCCCTTGGAGATGTTGGTGCCTGTGGATGACAGCAGACCTAGAGGACCGAGGAAAGTGTTTGAACGGCTCTTATACAAAGTATAAAAGAAAACGGGCTCAGCTGTTTTCAGGTCGGCTACTTATTGCTTCGTGCCAAGGTCTAGTGGAAGTGCCTTAGCTACGCCTCGGTCATTTTAAGCCCCGAAGCTTACTTAACCGAGCGAGGAGGAAGGCGACGGACAAAGCGAACCCAGGTCTGAACTCAATTCAGAACCGGCTTTTTTGTTCTCCAGTGACACTATCGACACCACCTGGATGCAATGACCGACTCGGTGGTGGACAGCAAGGCAGAGGTTAAACAAGCCACGAAATATGTCAAAGAGACTGAAAACGTTGCGGAAAAATATTCAGTGATGACTGTTAGCAAAAACAGCAGCGATGTGAATATGAACGTTGGGGAAATGCCTTCCGCAGCCTTCACCGCAGTCCCCACTCTGAAATCCATCAAGAAGGTAAGAGCCGTGATGCTCAGTCACTGCCATCGAGCAGAAAGTGTGCAGGCTACTGTAGACGGGCACATGCGAAGGGGATAAATCCACGTTGGTGCGCATTATAGCTGCTGCAGTGAAGTACTCCGGCACAGAAAGGCTGTGCAGTGTGCTGTGTTTGTGTGTGTTGGTTAATCTCATATGCACAAGACACCATCTGCATCTTCAGCCCAAAGTTAATGGAGCTTTGATGCATTGTTGGATGTGATGCTGCAGTGTCACACACACAACAGCTGCTGCATGTTACAGCATCCTACCGAGAGACTGGTCCATTCCAAGCACACATGCAAATGGATCTTTAAAATAGTCACATTCATCTTAAGAATCTGAAGTTAGGTGACACAGAAAAGCTTTTCTTCATTGTTCATGTGTGGTATTTGTCTAATCATAGCTTTTACTATGTTATTACTGAGGGAACAACATATAATTTAAAAGGAGTTTTCACCCAGACTGGGTTTTTGTTAAAATCAGCCTTTATAGAATCTTTCTGTTTAAACCTCATTGTGTGCATTATGCCAACATCCTGTAGGCAAGAGACACCTAAAATCCACGTTGAGCTCTTAAACCTCTGGATCAAGATTTCTACAAAGTGAAGAAATACACAGGCCAACACATTTGAGTGTAGACAGGGGTTTTGCACACTAAGCATGAGGTATTTAGTAGGTATTTTCCTTCTGAAGAATTTCAATCCTCCGTGAATTGCAGTCACAGGGCTAGTGTATAAATTCTCTGAAGTTTTAGGATTGTGGAAAACGAATCACATCTAGTGAACTTTGATCTTTATGTTTGCGATGCCACTCTTAAATTTGTTCAGGAGTATGTGTGTGTGTGTGCGTATATGGGAACCATCATTGTTAGTGATAAATACAGCTTGATAAAATTGTATTAGCAGCTCAAGGCGCACCTGTGAGAAAAGGCCTTGAATGTCTTGGCTGTTATACAACAGTACAGAACAATCATCAGACTGAAAGGCTCCCTGGAGGTGGCTGCTGATATCATTACTGATCCACCTCTGTGTGTAACAGCTGGCAACAGGCGGTGGATAAACATGGAATAGGTAGCTAGCTCATGGCTTCCTGCTGTGTTTATCAGAACTAACCAGCTCAGATGTTGAAAAAATAAACTCCTCTGACTGGTGCTCAGGTTCAGTGGTCCTTGAAGGTTATAATGCTTTGGTGAAACGTGGTGAACGATATGCCAAGACTGTGCCTCAGAGATGATGAGGAAATTCTCTGGAACTTTTTTAAGGTCATATTTTTGTCAAGTTTGGCAGCTGTATTGTGAGACATTTTCCTATCCTTCAAGGTGACCTTTGGTGCTCTTTGTGTATGACACTTATTGTTATGATTTTAAGAGCTGGATGCTATGTGCGCTGATATTATGGCCTAAGATTATCTTTACACTATTAAATATGGGTAAGTACGGTGTATTGCATATTTCAGCAGGTGAGTAAAATGATATTATCAATAACAAGGAATATTTTTATGTTTGTTTCTTTTTGTTTCACTTGTGTAACTGCCTTTATGATTTGATTGCAACAAAGTAAGTATTTTGTTTTACATAAATGTGTCTACAAGAGGTGAACAGAATAGTCATAATTATGAAATTATTTGTTTTCCCAGCAGTGGGGCTCACAGACATCAAAATATTAGCTCAGGCCCCTCTGTCTGATGAGGAAATAATATATGGGCTGTGAGCCACTTCAGGGAGCCCGATGGAAAACATATTGAATGGCAGGAATGTGCATCGCGCTTATGAAAACAAACCAGTGTGTTATGAATAAATGTGAGAACATAGTGTTGAACTGAGTCACCTGTTAGGATGAAAAAACTACTGCCAACCTTTGGGAAAAAAAACTAAATGATCAAACAAAGCGAAGAATAGAATAGTCTATAGTCTGTAGAATTTCAGAGGCAACGTGTCACATTATCAACTGAAAAGTGCAGTGAGAAACAAATATCAGTGCTACAAATTAAAAATGAACACGTGAGTGTGTGGGTGTGTGAGTTAAAGAACACCACTACTCAGCCTCCTCTCTCTTTCAGTCTATCCAGAGGTTACACAATATGCCCGCCTGGGAATGGGACTTTCTCGCTGCAATTTTGTTCTGAGTTGATCCCTGTGGGCTGTTTTACATTGAATCTCCACAATATTCATATCTTGTTATCACAATCTCATCTCGTTTGTCTGCTAACATTATGGCAGAGGTTCGTGAAGGTCAAAAGTACAATCCCACCCCCCTGTTGGCAAGTTTAAAAGATGGTATGGAAACATACAATATATGATGACAATGATCTTCACTGACTTTACCTTAGAGTAATCCAAAGATAGATTCAATTGTCAGGCTTAAGCTACAGTATGACCACATTACCCGTTGTAGTGACTCAGATCCGATTTTTTTTTCACCCTCAAGCAATTAAGATCTGATCTTTTTCTGAATATGTGAATAAACCAAGATGGATTTTTTTTTTCAAATCAGATCTGGGCCACTTCCATATGTGGACTTAGATGAGATTCATATTCAATTTCTGATCATGTGACTGCTCTCAGAATGCTCATATTGGAATCCAAATGTTTTTTTTTTTTAACATCTTCTTCCTCTGAGCATACTCATATCTCCTGCCGTCATCATTCAGTGTTGACCCTCACGGACCGGTTAAAAATAAACACGGGGGAGAGCAACGACAGCGAAGGGAGTCATTGAAGAGATGAGGATGTTTCACATTTTTTGTACATTTATGGAGAAACTTTTATGACCAAGCCAACCTGAAATGAAGATGTTGAGAATTCTTTTTTTGGGGGGGGGACATTATTCTTGTACGCACACGTGACTCACAGTTCAGTTACATCAGCACATGTGTGTAATTTAGGATGTCAGATGAGGTTCAAGTTCATATGTCACTTGCAAAAATGAATGTGAACCATCAACACAAAAATATTAGAACTGAGCATTAAAGCTTGTGATGTGAATATAGCTTTATGTCTGTACATGAATTTTCCCCACTGTGGGATCAATAAAGTACCTTCTCTACTCTACTCTTATGTATAGGAATTGAAAATGTGACCTAAATTTGGCGACCCCTAGTGGTGGGACTGGGCCTGGAGACAATGAAAATTAGCAGCAGTATTCACCAAGACAGAGATAGGAATAAGTTAAAGGTGGTATAAACAGTGATATAAAATTAACATATAGTAAATAGATACTGGAGGTGTAACAGTATGAAAGTTTAACATAATGATTATAGTGACCAAAATTATCATGGTTATCAGTATTATCACTGTTCTGTTTAAATGTGTTGAAAATGTTCAAAAATACACAAACGGAAACTATTCATTTAAGGTTTTATTTTGAAAATCGCAAATAATTATTAGGATTATTATGCACTGTGTGTGTGTAAACATAAAAAAAACCATAGCCAATAGACATCGCCTTCTGTAAACATAGGAAAACCTATCAAATGTGCATTAACATGTGGCCATGAGAGGTACAGCAGGATGTGATGTCCCCGGCAGGGACTAAATTAGGAACGCAGTTAAAATTAGCAAAAATGGCACTGTCTGTATGATTTTTGCACAAAATATTTGGTTCGTAATAATGTATGCTTTATTATTTTATAGAACTAGGGGTTTAGTTTACTTTGTACATGTATTTCAACTGTGCCACCCCTCTCTGAGTCTGTGCCCCAGCCTGGCCACCCTGTCCAAAATTTCCCTAGATCCACCTCTGATTAGACTGTATGTGTTTTCAGTTAGATGAAACTCTAGTAGTATGTGGCTAGTGTTGCATTATGCCAGGCTCACACTGAACCCTTTACTCCGCTGGCTGACTGTCACACCACAGTTTAAGTATGTGATCTGTCCTGCTGTCTAGAAGAGAAATTGTATTTTTAGCAATAGAATGGGACTGGATGGGCCACCTATTGTTGCAGCACCAGGCTGTGAGTGTGTGAATTGTTCTGTACTTAATTTGCTTGTGCATACCTGTTTATCTTAGTATTTGTATTTTTCCTGCATTTTCTCTCTCAGCGCTTTAAAAATCTACCTCAAAACACAACCTACAGACTTCAGCAGCTGGTTGTCAAGGACAGACCCATAGAGAGGAAAGAAAGAGGCTCAGTTGGAACTGACCTCCTCTTCCTTTCTAGGCCTCTCTCTCCCCCCAGGTTGGCCATTAGAAATCATGATAATAGGTGGGAACCTCCCCCTGGCTCTGCCTGGGAGTGTTCTGGGATAATAACATCAGGGACACCTAGTACCATCAGACAGAGGACACACAGGCACAGGGAGGTAGGCTGGAAGACTGGAGAGAGCAAGCAGTGACCAACAGGCATGGCACACAAACATGGGCATGGGAGAGAAAGGGTGAGTTGCCACTAATGCATCGCCAGGAACTCATCCAGTACACCTATTCTTAAAGATAGAAGATAGTGCACATCCCACATAGATATGTGTCTGAGTTATTTTTAGTATGTCAAAAGTTTTCTCTCTTCTACTTAGCAGTTGTGTAAAATGATTAAGCAGACCACACAGTGTTGCAACAAAAATGTTCAACTGAAGTGCAGGTTAAAGTACAGCCTTCTCCTCAAAAAGCCAGTATTATTCACAGAGCTCACCTTACTCTGTGAGAGTAGCAGAAGCAGAATCTTAAGTATCACTGAGTACTTCATCATTAATTACTTTAGATTAACCTCTTGTTTTTCCTAATTCTATAATCACAAGAAAAGGATTCTCAGAGTTTGGTGTGTGTGAACTGTGGAAATGCAGCAACTCAGGAGACTGCGAACTTCTCACGAGTCCAAACTGATGCAAAGCAAACATAAAAGTGTTATTTTGCAAGTGTATAGGATACAGTATAATCTAAATTGTAAAAACAGACATACAGAGAGCTCCTCAGTACACACTGTCTCACAAGCTTCTTGAGTTTCTTTATACTGACACAGTGGTGGTTGAAGTCCAGGTACAACTGCTCATGGAAAGAGGGATTGTGTCTACTCAGTGAGTGAGGTTACTACTGTTTTATCCATTCCTATCAGAGTTATTTTGATTTTAAACACATAGAAGTCATCGCAGTAATGACGCTTTTCAAATTTTTATTGAAAATGTACCTATTTATTGTAATGTGAAGCAGAAGGTTGTGTTAAGGAATTTCTTTATGGATCATAAAGTGTGTTGGTGTTGGCCTTACGAATCCCATTCAGTCTGCTTCATCTTCTGCTAACATGCAGTGACCAGGTTACTGAGTCTTGCAGCTGTGAGCTTACACCTGGAAAAATATCCTCTCACCATTTTTGCTTGTCAGTAGAAATAATCTTTTTTCCATTTAGCATTCCTTTACTGCTGCATTAATACTTTACAGTGTCATAACAATTAACTTTAGACTTTACCTTTAAGGTATGGTCATGGGCTGTTGCAGTGCTGCCAAATTCAAATGTTACTTGACTTGCTGTTAGTCTGGAATTCATCTATTCCAAGATTAACAGTAGGCCATCATCTGTGTGTTGTGTCAACTCTGCTGTCCTGCACGCTAGTTTTTAGTCCAAACAGATTCTATGGAAATAAGAAAACAAGGTTCTGTGGCATCGGCACAATGAATGAAGTCATTTGAAAGCATGAAGCACTGATGAAATGTGAGTGTTCAAAGGAAAAAAAATGAAGCATGTGGAAATTTGAGGATATGACAGAGTGAAGATTCTTACTGCAGACGATTGGCCAGCATTCAAAAACTTAAGGAAACATTTTGTATAATTTAAATGGTCACAATGTCTAAACAAGAATGGTTGTCATTTAAACATATTTATTCCTAAAAAGTGTATATAAAACACACAAATCTTATAAAACCACATTACGTAACAATATACATTAGAGCAGGTATAACAGGGATTTAATGAAGACATAAGGAATAAAGGAATACTAAAATAGTGTGAAGGCCTTTGTGCATTAACAACAAGCATGTAGGATGTCCACCATCTTGTGATTGCATGACATTAATATGATGTTGTGACATTATACAACATCAAAGTTAGCAATGATTTGATCCAACACATCACAACCTGTAGTATATTTTGGAAATGCAGACAGAGAAGGGGTGGGGGGGCATATCGGGTCTCTGTGCAACACCTCATCAGGCCTTTAGCAACATCAGGGTTTCTTTTTTGCAAGATAATGTCAGTACTTCACCCTCTTGCTAAACCCACATTAGTGGATCTGTTGCCAACATCATCTGAATTGATAGGCTCTAAAATCAAATGGAATAAAAGGACATCATGTGGTTTAGACCTGGTAACCAGCTGCAGGCGTCCTGTTTCGGTATCATCCTGAATAACATGGTTACCTGTGACCCTGTCCAGAAACAGTCTCTTTCATACAGACATATTTATTAATAGTTTCAGGTGTAAGAGAAGTTATAGTTTCCACTTGGACATCTACATATGTGAAAATATAGCATCTGCATCCACACGGTATTGTTCCTCTACATTTAGAGGCTATTTATTGCCAGGATTGTTCTGGCACTGACTTTTATTTAGTAGCTTAACAACATGTGTTTTAAAAAATTAGATCAACCTCTGTGGTTTGGTAGCCGAAGACTGAACCTTTGAGTATTAAATCTTCTGTTAAAATTGTCAAGCTAGCTGCGTGCTGTTCCACTTTATGTGTTTCCAGGTCTTTGATCTTGGGTCCTTTGAAGGATTGGGTTGACATGATGAACCACACCAACACAATTGAAGCTTGTGTATTTGAACAAATCACAGAGCAGGAGGGAGAATCTAAAAATAGGTACCGGCTGCCTTCTTCCCGACCCACCTGTGATTTACTGTAATAAACTCAGGTGATTTACCGTTGAAAGGACAGTTTTAGCAGGTGAAACAGCACATGAACACATTATCTACAGCATATACAGATAGGTGACAAGGGCAAAACCTGTATGACATGGCACAAGGGGTAACTGTTTGGTTTGATGAGTAGGAAAATGATGTGAATCATACACTATGGCCTTCACAATCACCGGATCTCAACCCAGTTGAACACTTACAGGAGATGTTGGAGCAATGTGTTAGACAGCGTCTCCGCCACCACCATCAAAACACAAAGTGAGGGAATAGCCTTTGGAAGAATTGGTTTCATCCCTCCAGTAGCATTCAGAGACTTGGAGAATCAGTGTCAAGGTGTAGCTGTTGGTCTGACACCTTCCTAGGATGCTTAATGTTGGCTTTTCCTTTAAATCGTCACCCTCGTGTAACTTAGTGTCATCGTTGTTAATGTGTGGCGATGATGGTTTCTTGCTCTTCCTTGCTCCGTTGATCTCATTGCTGACACTGACAATTAAAATCTCAATACTAAGTTCTTAAGTATCAGATTTTTTTTGTCTTTTATGCTTATGCTGTGCGCTGTTTTGTCCTGGTTCTCTCCAGATCCAGTTTGTGAATGCAGAGGACAAACAGGAATTCAGCAAGTACCCTACCAAGGCGGGCCGCCGCTCACTCTCGCGCTCCATCTCGCAGTCCTCCACAGACAGCTACAGCTCAGGTACTGGACACCTACAAGCGTCACTCTATTTTTAAGAGATGTTAAAACTAGACCTCTGTCAATTTGACAAACAAACTGATCAATATCATGAATCTATTTTTATACTGTTCATATCTTGTATTTTGGAATGAAGTATACACACTCATTCATAAATACAGCACATAGAACATGTTTACGTAAAAGCACATACAGTATAGACATGCATACAAGTGTGCATGTGTTTGCAATGAACACATAGCTTATGTACTGTATATACTGTATATAGAGGAAACGCATACCAGCTCCACTTTTCACACAATGTATGTGAAGTATCTTTGATAACTGGCATGATGCTTTTCTATAAAAGTGACCATTTATGTTCTGGATTTCCCAGCTGCGTCCTACACTGACAGCTCCGATGATGAAACCTCCCCCCGGGACAAAACCCAGGTCAACAGTCAGGGCAGCAGTGACTTCTGTGTGAAGAACATTAAGCAGGCTGAATTTGGCCGCCGAGAAATTGAAATTGCAGAACAAGGTATTGCTGACCTCTGTTGCACATAGTGGGCATTTCAGAGATCAGTCATATTTTTCCAGTTTCAACATAGAAAATGTAACATTATCACAGATCCTTTGATTGCGCCAATGCACTTTGATCAACATGGATTTGAGTGGATCCTAGTTGTAGTGATGGCTCTCTTATGGAGTCACTTGTCTTGTCTTGCACTGAGAGGCAATTGTGTACATGCAGGAATTAAACATCGGTTTTCTATGATTTTAATGAGATATAGTCAGATAAGAAACTTCCTATTGTAACCATTTACACAAAGCTGTTAACTGTTATCAGATATGTATCGCATGACATCTATTTTACTGCTTAGATACTACTTGAGAAGGCTCTCTCGTCCTGAATTCAAAGCTGTTTATGACCCAAGGCTGGGGCAGTGTCAGTATTATTCTGGAACATTTAAGTGAACTATTTTTCTCAGTTCTGTTTATCAGTCTTTACTCACTTTGTTCTTTTGCTTTTGAAACTTCATCTCCCATCTCAGACGTTTTTGTGCGTGTGTATTCCTTCTCTCTCTTCTGTTTTTGGCTGTTTACATTGCCCATATGAGTGGTAGGTAAACATGAATGCCCGTCAGATGTTCTTGAGACTTATAGTGTTGATAGCAACAGCTGTCACTGTCATTGTCGTTCAGTTAGTCTCTGTTTTACAGCCATTTCCTTCACGTCGACTTGGTAGAAAGGCTTATTTTTCTATTCAAAGTGGTCTATCGTTATTCTCCGTTCCCAAAATAAAACTTCTATGTCCTTTCATTGTCCTTTAACTTGTCCTCATTTTGTTCCTCCACAGACATGTCTGCCCTGATCTCCTTGAGGAAGAGAGCCCAGGGGGAGAAGCCACTGGCTGGGGCGAAGATAGTAGGCTGTACCCATATCACTGCTCAGACAGCGGTACGCCCTCTCATCCTGCTCACTGCAGATCACTGTGATTGTTACGTCCTTCTTTTCTTCATCTCTGCTGCCTTCTTATGTATATGTATATCCCATCATTCCCTTGTAGGTCCTGATTGAAACCCTGGTAGCCCTTGGGGCCCAGTGTCGCTGGACTGCCTGTAACATCTACTCCACTCAGAATGAGGTGGCTGCTGCTCTCGCTGAGATAGGTCAGATCCTTTCCTAGGGCCAGCTTTACATGTGAAAGTTTTACTTGCAAATGAGTTGTTTGCAGTTAAATCCCATCAGAAAGTTATCTTATAAACAGGTTGTAACATAGGGTAACATTAGTTTAAATATTGGTAACATACTGTAATGGTTGTCAACGGTTCCTAAAAATGAGCTAATTATAGCCTATGTGTAGCTGTGGGTGTCTATAGTGTGCATGTGGTTTTGATAAAAAAAAAAATTTACACACATATATGTATATGTACTGCATATGTTTGTATGTGTGCTTTGTTTCCTGCAGGGGTACCTGTGTTTGCATGGAAGGGTGAGACAGAGGATGACTTCTGGTGGTGCATCGATAGCTGTGTCAACACTGATGGCTGGCAGACCAACATGGTATCAATCAAATGATCCCATGATAGATTTAACACCAGTTGTAGCCTGTTCTCTTCTATCCCTGAGCTCTAATCTGCTATCTTAGACTAGATGTTTTATTGTGAAGGATATCTTTCATACTGTTAATTCTGATTTGTGTTGCTTAGATCCTGGATGATGGCGGAGACTTAACTCACTGGGTGTACAAGAAGTATCCCAGTGTCTTCAAGAAAGTGCGGGGCATTGTAGAGGAGAGTGTCACTGGGGTGCACAGGTGAGATGGGGCTTTATTTTGATGAGATTTAGGGTTTTAAAGGAAGTAGGAATTGAAGAAAAAGAAATTCTTAGGGGTTTTTTTCCCCCGTTTTTGTATTTTTGCCCAGAATTTCTGTTAGGGTGCGCTCGAACACAGAGTGAGCGAGCAGATAAAAAGCGGACCCAGGTGGCTGGCTTCGGTGCAAGCAGTGAGGTTTATTTACAGTGAAGGTAGTGACATATATACAGGAGGAGTAATGAGGTAGATGACCGGGTGTCGATCAGCAGCAGCAGAAAAACAGTCAGTGGTATGGTGGATGATGATGTACCGGGCTGCGGACGCAGAGGTCACTCCTGGGCTGGTCGAGGTGGAGGTGATGATGGCTGTAGACAGAAGAGCA